CCCGCAGCCGCCCCGGAGCCCGGAAAGGGGCGGCAGGTGAGGCACTTGCCAGTTGCAGAGAAAACACATGTAGAGAACTTGCCTTGTTGGAATGGCGTGATAACACGGTGGGAATAATAACTCTGGAAGAGGCAGACTGGGCAGCCACAATATAAAATATATCTTGGACCCCAAAATATGACTCTGGGAGGTGGATGAGGGGGAAAAAAATCATAAAAATCCTTCCTCTTTTTCCAGTGAGTAAAAAGAGAGGATGATAGATATAGAATTGCAAGATCCTATTAGTGTGGCTTAAAAATAGAGCTGGTATTTACTGTCCTGCTTTTTTTGTCCAGACTACTACAAAAAGGCTGATAAATGATTTCTCCAGTTAGATGCCTATGGAGATTCTCAGTTATCCAGGTCATGGTTGTCCCAAAGGTGATTTTTTTTCAAGAGGCTACTGGACTTGCTGTTTTTTTTTTCTTTTGAAGACATTTTGCTTCTCATCCAAGAAGCTTCTTGAGCTCTGACTGGATGGCCAGAAATGGAAGGTTTCCAGACCAGGGATGTAGACTTGAAGCCTGAATCCAAGAGGTCTCCTTGGGACTCGTTGACTTAGGATCACAATTGAGTGCAGAATTTCTAGGTGGTGGTTAAGCGAGTCGCATTCAATTTTACAACCTTTTTTTTGCCACGGTTGTGAAGCGAATCACTGCAGTTGTTAAATGAACCATGCAGTGAATTTGGCTTTCCCCCATTAACTTTGCTTGCCGGAACAAAGCCCAGGAAGCCGGATCAACCAATCTGGCATGCAGGATATACTGTACATTTCCACACAATATAGTTGAGATTTGAAGTCTACTGGACTAGGGGCGACTTTCAACATTCTCAAGGGAGCATGCGCAGGTCTTTGGCAGCCTTCGATGCCGAGCAGAGGACAGGAGAGGCAGTGGGTTTCATTGGGAGGTCCGTCTGCAACCATCTACAACTTACATTTACTCCTCAACCCCTTCAAAGCATAGATATGCGTTGATGCCTCAGTGCAGTTGCAGACAGGTCTAAATTTTGAACTGGGCATGGCTAGTCTAGTGAAGGGAAGGATCAGGGGAGACATGATAGCAATCTTCCAATATTTGAGGGGCTGCCACAGAGAGGAGGAAGGGCTCAAGCTATTTTCTAAAGCATCCAAAGGCCAGACAAGGAATAATGGATGGAAACTGAACAAGGAGAGATTTAACCTGGAAATAAGGAGAAACTTTCTGTGAGAACAATCAACCAATGGAACAGAAGTTGCCCTCGGAAGTTGTGGGAGCGCCATCACTGGAGGCTTTCAAGAAGAGATTGGACTGCCATTTGTCAGAAATGGTGTAGGGTCTCCCGCTTGGGTGGGGGGGTTGGACTAGATGACCTACAAGGTCCCTTCCAACTCTGATTATCTGTTATCTGTTAAATCAAGCTTTACTCATCACAAAATGCAAAAGGAAACAAAACTGAAAGGGGAAATAGATCCCCTACTGATAAAGAGCTTCACTGATTTTGTGTCATCAAGTGGTTTTCAACTCTAGCAACCCCATAGATAGATCTTCTTCATAACAATACATCCCTAAGTTGCTATTTCAGGTCTCTCACCTGAACTGAATTGTCACCACCTCAACTGAATCCATCTACCTTGCTGCTGGTCATGCTCTTATTCTTTTTCCTTCCACCTTTTCCTAGGATTATTACTTTCTCCCAAGAGCTTGAGTTTTGCATAATGAATCTGAAATAGGGTAATTTGAGCCTGGTTATGTGTGCCCCTATTGAGAACTCTGGGGTGATTTGTTTAATGATCCATCGGTTTGTTTAATTGACTGTCCATGACATACTCAGGAAACTTCTGGTACCAAAAGTCAAAAGTCAAGTACTGGTAGTCTTCCTGTATTGCTTTACCTTTCACTTACAGGGAGTATCATAGGGAAGATCATGGCTTGCACAATTGGGGTGTTTTTTAGCTATAGAGATGATGGTTGTAAGTATCTTTTCCGACTTCATAGTTCCTCTATCAAGTATTAATCTTTGCTGTATTTTTTATTAAGAGAACCTCTCCACCACTTTGATATGTCCATTGACAATTCTATGGCTGGTTACTGTACCTATTGTTTATTTTATTCTATTTTATTTATTGTATTTATAAATTTATGAATAAGTTACATTAATTTCCATAATTTATTTATTTTATTTTATATTTTATTTATTTTATTCTGTAATCTATGTTCTGTTTGGTCCTCTTTATATATAATTTTAGTCCAGTTTTCCACTCTGCTATTTTATTGTTAGGGCTTGTAGATCCTTTTCGTTTTCAGCTATCAGATTAATGTCATCAGCATAGCACAAATTACTGATGTTTCTTCCTGCACTTTAAAAATCATTTCTTCCAATCCAGCTTTTCTTAATATAGGGAGAGCTCGACTTACAACTGTTCAGTCACTGTTCAAAATTACAGCAGCATCCTAAAAAGTGACTTGTGACCATTTTTCAAATTATGACTGTTGCAGCCTCCCTGTGGTCATGTAATCAAAATTCAGACACTTGGCAATTGGTTAACATTTATGACTGTTTCCAGCATCCCTGGGCCACCTTTTGTGATCTCCTGACAAGTAAAGTCAATGGGGAAGCCAGATTCACTTAACAACCATGTCTCTAACTTAACAATTACAGTGATTCACTTAATTTCACATATAGATGGGGAGACAGAAGGTAAGGCTGGTGGGCGAACATGGTTATGGTCTTCTGAAAGTGGATCATAAACGAGGCTGTTCTTTTAGATGCAGGAGCTGTTAACAAGGGAGATCTCAACAGAGCTCCAGGAAAGAGAAGATAGATCCAGTCCTTCTCAAGAGTTATTTTTCAGGAGGATCCAACTCTGGCCAACTTGCCAGGTAAGTGTAGGTTTCCTCTGAAAGCAATAGAGTTCAAGTTTCCTCCATTCACAAGTTGCTTTTTCCTCCAAATACTGAATTTGTGTGCATTTGAACACATTGTGTTTTGCCCCATCCCCGAATGAGCCAATGAGTCACTTGCATTCAGCTTTCTAATCATTTTGGAGATACAAACGAGAGATAATTCACAGACTGAAAGGCTTGTATTAGGAAATGTAATTTATTTGTTGAAAGTATTACTGAAAACCAGTTAAAAATGAAATCCTTGATTTGAAAGGCTAGGAATGGCATCAAATCTGCTTCAGAAATGTATTAGCATATCCACTTAAAAATCAATCGTATGAAGAGCAGATTTCCCATGTAAAAGTCAATGCTAAGTGGCTGCAACAACCAGATTGTTAGTCAAACGACTTGGAATTTCCAGGATTATATCCAACCTTTTGAATTAAGCCGGGGAAGAAATTCCACGTGGATATGTTCCATTTTCTAACAAATTTTGAATTTGCTCTCTAAGTCAAGTGAGGTCAGATCAGTGGATACTACTCCTCCAAATCTCCATGCTGGGTTATTCTGGGCCACTAGGCGGTTCCACAATGGGGGCTATGTTGCCATTCGGCAGCTTGGATGCACGTAAGCCATAATTTGTGAAGTTAGACATCAGCCTGACATAAGAAAGTTTTCCAAGCCCCACAGACTACTATATGTGCATATACCTCTCCTATAAGATGTCTGTTTGGTGCCTTACAACGCTCTGTTTTCCATTTTGTGCAGTAAGAGAAAACTTACAAGGTCTTTTCTAGGATTGACTGGTAAGGAACATTCTCTTTCTAGGGGTCTAATTTCTTTGAAGAGGTGGCTGTGGACTTCACAGAGGAGGAGTGGGCACTGTTGGATCCCAGAGAGAGGGCCTTATGCAGTGAAGTCCTGCTGGAGGTTTCTAGGAATATGGCTGCTCTGAGTAAGACTCTTTCTTTTCTCTGCATTCCATTCGTTGGGGAAGGATTTTTCAGAGGAAGGTAAACAGGGGAATATCCCTGCACTCAGTTGCTTAAGGTGATCATGACTCATGTGAAGTGTTAATACCACTTTATAATGCTTTGGTAAGGCCACACTTGGAATACTGCGTCCAGTTTTGGTCATCATGATGTAAAAAAGATGTTAAGACTGTAGAAAGAATGTAGAGAAGAGCAACAAAGATGATTAGGGGACTGGAAGCTAAAACATAACAAATAATGGTTGCTGGAATTGGGTATGTCTAATTTATTGAAAAGAAGGACTAGGGGTGACATGCTATCTGTGTTCCAATATCTTAGGGTTTGCCACAAAGAAGAGGAAGTCAGACTATTCTCCAAAGCAACTGAGGGCAAGACAAGAAGCAATGGATAAAAACTAATCAAGAAAAGAAAAAAAAAACCTAAGAAAGAATTAGAACTAAGAAAAATTTTCCTGATAGTTAGAACAATTAATCGGTGGAACAATTTGCCTCCAGAAGTTGTAAATGCTCCAACACTGGAAGTTTTTAAGAAGAGATTGGACAGTCATTTGTCTGAAATAGTATAGGGTTTCTTGCCTGAGCAGGGGGTTGGACTAGAAGACCTCCAAGGTCCCTTTCAATTCTGTTATTCTATTCCTCACTAGATCATGAAAAAGTGATCACGAACTGGGTCTTCAGAGACAATTTTGCCCAAGGCCATCATCACATCACTTATTCTAATGGAGAGCAAAGGCCTTGGCAGAAGTACCCACCTTAGATAACAATTTGGCCCAATATCTCTTTAGTGAGACAAATGATGCCAAGCTTGGAAAATGAATAGGCATGCTTTTGAGATGGGTAGATTCCCCTCCTTAACCATTCTAAACTCTAATGGGGACTTCTTTCTTTTTCCAAGCAGGTGACGGGCTGGAGAATGAGAACGACAAGCAGGTGAGATCAATGCCACTGCAAACAACAAATCTTGAGGTAGAAGAAATAATGTTTGACTATGAAGGAGCTCCAAAAACTCAAGAGAGAAGACAGTCAGAAGACATGGGGGACAGTTCCTCCACTTCTCTTCCTGTTGAAATCCATGGTTTCCTGACCCAACAAGGTCAGAAAGGGAAGAAAAAGGGAAAATCCAGCAAAAGGGAGGAAAATAAGTTTGATTTGTCTGAGTATAGCAGAAGTCAGTCTAAAGGCTTTATAAATTATGGAAAATACATCAATAATTTTTTCTCTCTTACTTTACTTAAGAAACTGTATAAGAAATACAAATCACATCCATTTATAAAAGTTGGTAAGGATTTCAATCTGAGCAGAGACATGAAACTGTGTATGAAGTCTGGAAAGAGCTTCACTATCCACAGTATTTTTAATCACCATCAGAGGATCCACAAGGGGGAAAGAACTTATAAATTCATGGAGTGTGGAAAAAGCTTTTGTCAGGATGGAATGCTTACTCATCATAAAAGGATCCACACAGGCGAAAGACCATATAAATGCCTAGAGTGTGGAAAGGGATTTACTCGCAAAGGACATCTTACTTGTCATGAAAGGATCCACACAGGGGAAAAACCTTATAAATGCACTGAATGTGGAAAAGTCTTCAGAACAAATGGCCATCTGATTCGTCATCACAGGATCCATACAGGGGAGAAAACATATACTTGCAGGGAGTGTGGAAAGCGATTCATTGAGAATAGAGATCTCATTACCCATCAAAGGACGCACACAGGGGAGAGTCTCTATAAATGCCCTGACTGTGGAAAGAGCTTTACTCAGAAAGGACAACTTAATTCTCATCAATGGGTTCACACAGGGGAGAAACCTTACAAATGCCCAGAGTGTGGAAAGGGCTTCAGTACAAACTGTAATCTGGCTCGCCACCAAAAGATCCACACAGGGGAAAGACCATATAAATGCCTGGAGTGTGGAAAGAGCTTTTTCGACAATAAAGATCTGACTCGCCACCAAAGGATCCACACGGGAGATAAACCATATAAATGCCTGGAATGTGGAAAGAGCTTTGCTCAGAAAGGACAACTTAATTCCCATAAAAGAATCCACACTGGTGAGAGACCATATAAATGTATGGCATGTGGAAAGCAGTTCACTCAGAAAGGAAATCTTACTGATCATGAAAGAATCCACACAGGGGAGAAACCATATAAATGTACTGAATGTGAAAAGAGCTTTGCTAAGAAAAGACAGCTTCATTCTCATAAAAGGATCCACACAGGGGAGAGACCACATACATGCATGGAGTGTGGAAAGAGCTATTTCGATCAGAGAGACCTTACCCGCCACCTAAGAACCCACACGGGGGATAACCCATATAAATGCCTAGAATGGGAAAAGACCTTGATTGTCAACAGAGACCTTATTTGCCAACAAAGTATCCACACAAGGGAGGGTCCATATAAATCAATTGAGTGTGAAAAAGACTTTAATGACTACAGCATCTTTACATCTTATAAAGAGATGCACGCAGGAGAAAATGGAATGTAGAACAAGCTTCATTGAAAACTCTGCTTAGTTCTCATAAAAAGATTCATACATAAAAATAAAATATAAATCCATGGAATGAGATTCCCACAAGAAAATACCTAAGTGCTCGCATGCGGTAAGAGCTGAAGATGGATCAGTGGCCTTACAATAGTATGATCGTACTGGGGAGTTATGGAAATGTACAGGAGAATTGGTGTATCAGTAAAATGCACCATTGTCTCTCATACTTTTTGCATGTACTTTATTTGTGAGATACGGAGAACATACAGTATCTCTTTAAAAGCTGGTTACCTCAGTAGGGCTTGACTGCTTGGTCTGTGGTCAAATAAATCTAGAAAATGGTCATGATAATCAGCTGTGGAAGATGGAACACCAGAAAACTATGTAGCTGAAGGAGGTGAAGAGGTATATTTTCTCAATTTCAATCAATAGAGTTGGAAGGGATCTTGCAGATCTTTCTTCTAGTCCAATCCCCTGCTCAAGTAGGGGGCCTTATTCCATTTAGATAGATGAGTCTTGTCTTAAAAACTTCCAGTGACAACTTCTGAAGGCAAGCTGTTCTAAACTGGTTAATCGTCCTCTATGTTAGGAAGTTTCTCCTTCATTTCAGGTTGCTTCTCTCCTTGATTAGTTTCCATCCATTGTTTCTTGTCCTGCCTTCTGGTGCTTTTGAAAATAAGTTGACCCCCTCTTCTGTGTGGCAACCCCTCAAATATTGGAATACTGCTATCATGTCCCGCTTTTCTCAAGACTGGCCATTCCCAATTCCTGTAACCATATATTTTTGTCTCGAGGCCCTTAATCATCTTAGTTGCTTTTTGCACTTTCTCATTTTATTTTATTTTAGTAGTATTTTATTTTATTTTCCCTAAGGAGGGAGGTTCATGCAGGACTTCTGAGGGGATCTGCCTGGGGTTGAAATGTTAAAAAGAGAAATTACTTATAACATTTCAAACCATTCAATTGCATGTTTTTATAATCAATTGACATTATTCAAACTATGATTCCCCCACTGATTCTACCGTTTTCCAAATTGTATAAATGAATTTGTTCTGTGATTTCTCAGTGTCATCTATCCTGGGCAATCAACAGTCCACAAAAAGATTAAGGAATTCAGAAAACAGATGGCTTCTTTGGTTTTACCTTAAAAAAAAAACCCTCTATATGAAACAGAAATTGCCTACATTTATAGCATTTAAAATGCATTTCAATCTGAAGAGTTGTGTTAATTTCCATTAAAGATTTCAGACGCAGACAGGAACTGAAGATTGTGTAAATTGTAGAAAAAACTTAATTATAAACTACTCTATTTGCAAGCAAACAATGCACACAAATGAGAAACCATATTAATACTGTTAAATTCCAAGACTAATGTTAATTGCTGAAAAACTCTACACAACCAAGGGGTTCTTTCAGAATCATGACTTGTATTCGAAGCACAGGTGGCAGCCTTGGCTAAGAGAACCTCTGAACAGCTTATTGTATTGTGTGCCCATTGTGGCCATTTCTGGATCAGGAAGCTCTGCTTACGGTCACTCATGCCCAGATGAACTACTGTAATGTGTTCTACACGGAGCTGACTTTCAGCATCCAGAAGCATTGGCTGATACAAGATACGATGTGGGCAGTTATGTGGACCCCTATAGCAGCATATGTTAGGTTACATAATGTACCGTGATGATCTTTGAAGGCCTTCAGGGCACGAAGCTGGGTTACACGAGGGACCCCTTCCTGAGTATATCTGCCTATCCTATCAGATCTGGCAGAAGATGTATGTTGCAAGGTCCTCTCTTAAGAAATTACATGTGGCAGGACCGAGGAGATGGGCCTTCTCTTCCCTAGCACCCATCCTTGATATCCTGGAAGTCCCTCAAAACAACATGGCTATGTCAACAGATTTGGGGAATCTCAAAAAACTTGAACCAGCGAGGTTGCTGCATTCCTTACAATATTGAATCCTTTTTCCTAGCCTTAAATGTTGAATTTTTAAAAATTGTAGAATGTTATTGTATCAGTGTCATGTTTTGAGAGATGGTCAACTATAATACAAATGATGAATGAATTAATGAATGATTCACACAGGAGTGAAATCTTATAAATGCATGGAATGTAGAAAGAGCTTTCTTTGAAGAATCGCTACATTAAAGCCTCAGGGCATCTAGTTGCTGATGTTGTGTAGGAAAAAAAAAATCCAAACCAAAAATCAGTTATAGTTGGAACTGGAAAACTGAATATAGAAAAGCTCAGTGCAGTAAAAGATGAAACAAAAACACTGGAAACCACTTATGGACTAAAAAAATGCATAAAAAAATTAAAAATGAGTTTGTGATTTATGGTTTTGTTGATTAGACAGATAGATATATGGAAAGAGCATCATGCTATAACTTGGAGATAAAGGTGACAATATAATTGTACTTACAACCTGTGAAGAATGTTTTTATATATATATATATTTTTTTTCTTTTTTCCTACTTCTATTTTCTTACCACACTTGGAGCTTTTTCTGTTATTTCTCCCCTTTTTCTGTTGTTGGAAGAAATATCCCTCTGGGTTCAGTTCCAAGTGGGGAGAAAGAGACTGGAAACATGGAGGCTATTTGGAAAGATGGTTTAATGGTTAAGAGGACCACATGGTCTGAAGTCCTGGGGAAATGAGTGAATGGGTGAGAGAGGCCCATGGGGCTATGCTGGGGTAATTTTATAGGCTGTCCTGAGTCCCAGGTTTGGTTGAACCTTGCTGGGTGATGCAATCTTCCCAGGTACCATGTGGTGAGACGGGTAAAGGGTTAATCCTATTATGTCCTGAGGGCCATGTCTTAATCCCATCACCCTGGAGCTGAAGGTGGGGGCAGGGAGCGGCTTTCTCCTTTTTTTCATCCAGGGGAATATATTCTTCCTTTCTAATATTTCCTATAATATTTCATTCTTCAAAGAGAGGGATGGGTGCTAACTTTCTACAACGTTCTAAGTCGGTTTCTATTTTTAAAACTTTTAATAAGTATATTACAAAAACACTTGGTATTTTCACCTTTAGCAAATTGAAATGGACTTGAGTTGGACCCTTTAAGACAGAAAATTAGAAAGCTTATTACGCAGGATGTGATAAAAAAATAAACATTGTTTTCAGAGCCAAGAAGGGAATATTATCTCCCACCCCACATTTGCCTTCTCAGCTTAGAGCCACCAAATGCTGTCAATTTCACTTTCCAAGAGTTGCTGCTGATTAATGGGATTTTTTTATTGTTATAATTTGTATCCTGCCTTGACTATTTTTACAAATAATTCAAGGAGATGAACATATCCAACATACCTTTCCCCTCTTATTTATCCACACAACCACCCTGTGAGGTGGGTTGGGCTGAGAGTGAGTGATTGGGTTTCAGGGCTAAGGCAGGATTTGACTTCAGAGTCTCCTGCTCCAAGGTTACACTTTGAGTGTCCCAAGAGTGACATACCATTTTTAATTAACATCTGAAAAATGGCTGGTTAGACAAGTAGCTCTATTCATTTTCCTTCATAGTGCACCACTTGCTGGCAAGGGGCCAGGTCCTAACCTTAAGTTCATTGTGGAGAAGTTTCTCTTTCCCTCCAGGGACTTAACAAAGCTTGCACTTAATAAGTGGCTTTCTGTGTGTGCTCTCTGCTGTTTACTAGTTGCAGAAATCTTGTGATTTCCCTTTGTTATCTTCTGACCATAGTGAACATTTCTGGGGTGGGGGGGGGGGAGTGAGTGGCTATCACATCAGCTCAAAGGGAAAGCCTTGTTCAGCAATTGGCATGTCAATTACTCACCACTTCAGCACATATTTGGGAAGAAGACATTGTAAGCACGGGACCTAGTTGATTAACTCTTATGACCTATCTCTGTGTTTTCTTTTTTCAATATCTGACCCAGTTGTCATGGCCAGCTATACGGAGTGCCACATTTCAGTCCATTTAGGAGGAACACACATTTCTGAATTTTTTATTGTGTAGATATAGATATAGATGAAAAATCTATAATCCCTTGGAAAATTCTTGAAGACTCAACTGGCCAGGCACAGCCAAACAGAAAGGCCAGGATGAATAAAAACTCAAGATTTGCACAGACTAGAAAGAGGAAACAGAAACAGGTAACAGGCAGATTGCACTCTGTAGAAAACGGAAGCTAATTCCATAAAATCACCATAGGGAAACAGAGATTAAGATAACAGGACAAAAAAACCCTGCCCTAATAGATTCCTCAAAGCATTTACTTATTTAGTAATAAATGAATAAATCTATTGGCTGGCCCCTGCCTTGAGACTCCATTTCTCACATTTCCTTCCCCAAACCCCTTCCCCTCCGCCTTCTTCCATGTATCCCAGAACCACATCTGCATTTCCAAGAGAATTTGGGGAAAAGAAATCCCAGATGTCCAGGAAGGTCCGGAAGGGGAAGGATGATTAACTTGCGGATCAATGGGGCAGGACAATGCATTATTGGTGATGCTACGGGAGCCCAGGATGCTACGGGAGCCTGGAGGGAAGGCTGTAGCAGAAGATTTTTATTTTAATTTGTCAATCGCTTACAAGATAATAGGTATGTATATACATAGTTATGAATACATGAAATGGATATGAATAAGAAAAAAACAATAGGACAGGGATGGTGGTAGGCACATTGGTGCGCTTATGCACGCCCCCTACGGACTTCTTAGGAAAGGGGTGAGGTCAATAGTAGACAGTCTAAGGTTAAAGTTTTTGGGGTTAGGGGAAGAAACCGGGGTCAGGTAGAGTATTCCAGACATTGACCACTCTGTTGCTGAAGTCGTATTTCCTGCAATCAAGTTTGGTGCGGTTAACCTTGAGTTTGTATCTTTTGTTTGCTCTTGCGTTGTTATGAAGCTGAAGTATTCATTGACAGATACGTTGCAATGTATGATTTTATATACCGTACTTAGATCAGACCGAAGATGCTACCCAACTGCATCTATCCCCCTCCCAGTTGTGTGCCAGTCTCTTAAACTCATTCCCATTTCCTGGACGACGGCACACCTTTGGAGTTCACACTGGTTCAATACTTATATTTCAACATAAATAATTGCTCCCCCCACCCTTGCAAAACAGGTGCACATCAATGTCTATAGCCGAATAACAAAGTTGGAAGGGTTCTTGGAGGTCTTCCAGTCCAATCCCCTGCATAGGCAGGAGACACTATACCAGGGGTCCCCAAACTTGGCACCTTGAAAACTTGTGGACTTCAACTCCCAGAATTCTCTAGCTGGCTGTTCTCACTGTCGGGAAATTTCTCCCTAGTTCCAGATTGCTTTTCTCCTTGAGAAAAGAGAACTTGATTTCTTCTCTCCCCCCCCCACTCCCCCAAAATAAAAAAAAATAAAAAAGAAATACTCCGCCAACGGACGAGTTTGACGTCACAACGGGAGAGCATGCGCAGAAGACGCTAGAAAGTAATTCCTGCAGTACATAGGAGAAACGATGATTTCTCTTGGGGGAGGGGCAGCTCTCCCACTCAAGGGGCGGAAACAATGATCGCGTATAGCGGTCTTGCCTCTCTAGGAAGGAGGGCTCTGCGAGGACAGGGCGGGGCGAGAAGTTTTGGCGGGAAGGATTTGCAACTCCTGTGCTGAGGCGAAGAAACTCTGAGGGGAGCGGAGCCCGCGTTCTCCCCCCCCCGCCCCATGAAACCGGGAAAGTGGCGATCGATGGCGGAGGCTCTGCCCTGGCTGAAAGAGGCCTTTGGGAGACGCTGAAGCCGGAGGCCAAATGCCAAATGGAAGCCCAAGGATCTTTAAGGGCGGTAGCAGCAGCAACAGCCCCCAGTACCCTCCAGGCGAGAAGAGGCGGCGGGGAATCCGGCGAGGGAAGCGGCAGCCCCAGCGGCCTCCCGGAGGAGCCCCGCAGCTCCGAGGCTGAGCGCTGGCGCTTCCCCTGCTGCGGCGCCCGGGAGGCCGAGGGGCCCCGGGCGCTTTGCAGCCGCCTGCA